TTCCGCCCCTATTGGCCTTGGTGCTTTAGCCTTAGAACAGCAGTCGGATATGCACCGATCAATTTTCCGTGCGAATGTCGAACACAATTTTACGTGCCGCTGACGCCTTACGTGTCATTTCCTTTGGATATTGAATTTGTGACATCTCTAATGCTTGTACATCACGCTCTTAAGGTATTTAAATGCCAGGATATTTTGCACCCCTCCGCAACAAACAAAGTAAAAACTCTGCCTCAGCCATCAGACATGTGCTGCCCACATCGACCAGCCGGATAGCTGAAAATTGGCTAGGAATCAAGTTTGAGCTTGATGTTAACGGTATTTAGCAACCAACGGAAGTCAATTTTGCCCTATTTTCCCGAAAACGTAGACTCAAAATGACAGGGTTCACCACGATCTGGAGAAAACGAATAAGCTCCATGCATGTTATTACGCAGCACGTTTTTTTTTTTCTAGGCCTGCTCACCGTCAGCCGGATTCCCGCAAAAAATAACATACTGAGGAACTTAAAATCTAACGACCGGCATGCAATTATTTCGGGGGCCTTAAACTCTGGTGGGGCCCACAATTTTGTGCGCCCCTCTGACGAAATCCTGGATCCGCCCCTGTGCACGGTGGCGCAGTTGGCAGGGAACGAAGCTTCCAGTGGGGGGCGGGCTCAAATCACAAGCGCAGCACATTTCGCCGTCGCCTTCGCTGTAACGGATGTGCAAGGTTACGACCGAAACGACAATGTAGATCTATGATAGCGGCAACGCTTGTGAACAGATTTAGTGACGGAGGCAAAATCAAGGGATTTTAGCGTGCCTGTCTGGTGGAAACTGAGGCGAATGAAAGTTTCCTGCCACCGGCATAGAACTACAAACCCTCCAAGCCAGGGTTGAGCTGTGTGCGTCGATACACGATGTAACGCAACATTACGATTACGTTGCGTATGACCAAGGTTTAGATACCTGACAGATCAGAGCATGCTTCGGTTACAAACCCCAGTTGACAAATAAAAACGAGTCCTAGGTACGCAATGAAAACCGGCTGTTGCTTCTGAAGGAATTATATTGTATAAGCTGGACTCGGGTAAAGTAGTTGCGTCGTTCTTGCACCAGCGCTGCAGACCGCCTGGAAATGAAGTTTAGCAAACGCGCCGTGTGAAAGAACCGAGCATGTTTTTTTTAACGCAAACCTTCATCTCATCAGCCGGGTAGCGCGAACTGCAGACACCGGAACATAACAGCCTAATTTTAGGGTAACAGCAGGCTGTTCTCACTGGACGGGATATCAGCCTCGCGGCACTGGTCAAAGCATCGCAGGCACATCCACCATTCAAAGCGTCGCCGTCAAAACCAGTGGGACATGCCAGCGGTTTCAGTTAGCAGAACTTTTCTCACGTGGGTGCTGCACAAGCGAGCCGCTGATATCGGCGATAGGCCCTGGTCATGGACAGGGTGCGGACAATGCAGACAAATGTTCTCGACTAGTCAAGAGCTTTGTGGAGGCTACTTCGCTCACAGAGATAAACTCAACAAAGGTTGCTAAGCAAGGCCATCAAACGGCGTGAATCCGATTTCATCTGATCAGGTCATCCGTTGGGCTATCAGATCGGGATTCGAGCACCCATGCTATAACTAGCACGCGCACGTGAGAATCGTGGAGGCTATAGCAGCGTGATCGCCAGACGGGTTCTCCAAGAAACGATTGCGTCCGCTTGAGGCTGGGACCGGCTAGACGCGATCTTTTGTAGACTTGTGTCTGTGACGCCCAAGAAAAAAGCTCCTACGACCTCTCCACTCGAGTATTATTACGCGAGCATAACCTGTTTAATACCATCATGCAGCTCATTTCCTTCCCAGACGCCGCATTGTTGTTTTCGTCGCAGCACACATCCACCGCGGTGAGGCTATGAGCCAAGCACCTGTGTTGGAGGTGCGCAGCATTCCTGCAAACACGAGCGGGCAGTGAGCGTTTCGTCAGCCCGCAGCCGTGACTGCCAGCCAGTCATGCGCCACGCTGCACATCCGCGAACATCGCACGAAGCGGCCCTCCGTCAGGGCCGCGCCCGTGACCGCCGCTCACCTCCCAAAGCCGCGGCTCGTGCTAGGTGCGGCCGAGGCGGGACCTCACGCGCAGGAATGGAACAAATGCGACACGGTGCCGCGCCGGTCGAGAAAGGCGCGTCGGTGCGCACAGCAGAGATCCAAGCATTATGTGCTGTACGTGGGAGCTAACCCATGCATGAGCAGTGTGCCTCAAAAAAGGGCACGAAACACGAGCGCATCCATTGTCCGGAGAGACGCGTCATCCACTGTCGCCTACTCCTGCGTTGGCCGGTATGCCAGAGGTACCGTTAGCTGTTGGTTTATCGGAGCATGTGAGAGGCGAAGGCGTACAAGCGTGGGAAAAACCTACACAAGGCCTTCAGGCAGTCTTGCATGCAATGGCTTTGGCACCGCTGCCGTTACACACATGTCGCAGCGCAATGAAGACGTTTCTCACATTAAGACGGGGCACAGCTAAGGTGACTCCAGGATCAGGCGTTCCAACGCAGAGAAGGCACGCCGCAGGTAAGATGTATTTACGTAACGCATTTTTGACGGGGTTCTTAAATCACAGCACACGTTCGAAGCCGCTGCTCTCAGGCGTCAAGGCGCCCGCCTCTCGGACCGGCGCGCTATGCGTTTCGAAACCAGCCAAGGACGTGCAGGTATTCCATAGGTCCAAAAGCTGCAGCGCTGAGTCCGGGGCTGCATCACTGCTAAGGGGCCGCCTCTTCGCGTCCTCAATAGCGACTCAACGCAAATTGAAATGCGACCCTGACTAGTGTGCTTACCGCCGGGCTCATCGCTGACAGCCGTCAGTCGGCGGTCGGAGCCAAGAATATGTGCTAAGAGGTCCGAGCACACATTGCCAGCTAAACTCACGGTGAATGGACAGTCCCGTACGGTCGCGTTCATCGTCCGTCTGCAGGGGACTCACGGCGGCCCCGTCCTGCTTCGCCGACTGGTGAGCGAAGTGACGCGGTATTTGGTGGCCATCACGGCAGCCTGTAGATGCGGCGTTTTGATAGACCCGGTGCCGGCGGCCGGCGCTGGACCAGCGCAAGATGCACTGGAGCCGTGTGGTGCCCTATCAACGCCGGGCCTCGTCGACACCAAGAAAGGCTGGAATCGAATTAAAGGCATCCGGATGAGCTGGAAAGGCGGCCGGCGGGGACAAGCCCGCGCTGAATACATTCCGACTTCAAAACCGGTACGGACGCCGGTAACGGCCAATCCTCGTCGGTGCCGGGCCGGCGCCCGCGACATCCAGGCTGGAGCCGGTCCCGTTCTTTTCTGAAGAAAACACTGCATCATGGCCTTGACAGCATGCCTGGTGGCCAGCGCTGCCATGAAACGCGGCGGAGCGCGGCGTCCGGTCCGCGGCCTCCAGACCAGCGGGGGGCGGAACACGCCGCCGCCGCTGGCCGACGTTCCGTGCAAATCACTTCCGACGACCTTAGCGCACCGTCGGCTGTTTTGACGGCGCGCCGCAGCGCGGGCGCGTGGGAGCGCTGCGTCCAACACGCACGCGCACCTCCGACGCGTCATCGCTGCACCCGGCGGCCATTTGGTTACAGCGGGGCGCTGATGCGATTGGCTGGGCCGGGTCGACGGCTGCCTGCGCCACCAGGCATTTGAGCAATCACACTTGTTGAGGTGTGGGCGCGGCCCCGCATCGCACGACCCGGGCCGCGCGCCACGTGAGCACGGGGCTTATGCCAGCTTAGCAAGCCCGTCATGTAGCGTAGCTTCGGTCGGACGAGCACGGGCACCTCTGCCAGTCGTAGCTGGGAAGCGCGCCGGCCGGGGCCGCCGCCGGCGCCGCCAGGCCGGGGGGGGGGGGGGGGGGGGGAGAGAGAGCATCGGGGGGGAATTCCGTGCCGCGCGCCAATCGTTCCAACCCGCTCCCGGCGACGCACCGGACGGCGAAGACGCAGCGCGGCAGGAACCCGCGCATTGCCGGGAATCCGTGCGTCGGCGGCGGAGCGTCCATTAGCGTCGGGCAGCGGCTGCCCGGCGCGCAACCGTGACCCGGCGACCCGACGCGCCGGCCTCGAGAGCCGGTCCCCGCCGCCGGCCCGGTGGGCGGCGCTGATTGGCTGGGTCGCGGGGTCAACAGTGACCGGGCGCTCATCAGAGCCGCCGCCGCCCCCGCCGACTCACGACACGCGACCGTTCAATATCCGCGTCCGCGCCGGAGATCTGCCGCGCGCAGGCGCTGGCAGCGCGCGAATACACCGCTGTGGAGTTTCCGACGAGGAAATAGCGGGGTTGTTAGCAGGGCGACCGCCGCATCAGAATTGCTCAACGGACCAAAGCTGCGGATGATCCTCGCTGGCCGTACTCGGAAGACCATTGCAAGGAAACGTGAGCTGATTGCGTCGAGCCAAACAGTTACATCACGCGCGCGTTCCACGCCAGACACCGCGACAAGAGCCGTCACCGGGCGGGCGCGGCTGCCGCAAGGCTAAGCCGATTACGACGGCTCCAGCCGGTGGAGTACTCGGCGACACTTCTCGCGCAGAGCCGGCAGCCGTGTAATCGGGCAAAACGTGCCTTCGCCCGGCTACGCGGGCAGGTGGTAGACGTGCCGGTCCCACCGACAGCTCCACGCGGGGCGGGGCCAGGTGCAGGTCGCTGGCACTGCTGAGACTCGCGGCACCCCGTCTCACAACGGCCCGCCGGTGGACAAACGCGTTATAACGGCAACTGAGAAGTTTTTGCCCTGTTGGTAACCCACATCATCCGGTATTAGCCTAATCCCTGGTTGGCAAACAAAGGCAGAGTGCAACGGAACAGAGCCCGCCTCCCCGACCGTGACACCGCGGGCGAGGACAAAGGAACCCCCGAAACAGCAATGGGAGTCAAGGGTCGACCGAATCTCCTGCCCAGTGTCTTTTCAGGGAAGTTCGCGAGGATGACAATTTATGCGCCAATCACTTACTCGCTGGCTTTGAAAAGTTTTTCCGGTGACTCCCATGTGGTCTAATGAACTAAAGACATTTTCCGTTGCAGATGTATTGTAGTCTATCAAGAAGTGTTGCGGGACTCCACCCTCAGTTTCATTCGCGTGCTGTAGATCTGTTTTACGACGATAAATTCCTAATAGAAAACATCAATGACACGCCATACGAACGACGCCTAAAGACAACAAAAATCGGAGCACGGAGGTTTCCGGCGCGCCGCGGCGCACCTTTCAGCCAGCCAGCGACACGGGTCAGACCGAACGGTCCGACATCTTGCGGCGAATTAGGAAACCAGAAGTTAACCCTCGGCCCACCGCGACAGCAGCCGAGCCCTACACCTTTCACGACCCTCGCGTCCTGCTGCTGCTTCTCAATCCGGTCCCCACCACTGTACATCGCCGGCGCTGCACTCGGGCCAGCCGGGGCGCCGCTCCACCGCTCCGCTCCGGACGAGTGGGCGCGGCCAGGCGGTCCCCGCGTTGCGGCCGGCGCCACCGTGGGGCGGTTACAGGTCTGACGTCAGCAGGAAGGCCGCCGCGCGCTAGCCGTCAGCCTGCGCTAGCTCCTCCAGCTGCTGCTTGAGCAGCTGGTAGCGCCGCTGCAGCTGCTGCTCGCGCTCCGTCTGTCTGCTCACATCCTCCGACAGCGACTGAGGGACAGATGGCGGCGGCGAGGTCAAATGAGACGCATTCGGCTCTCGGCATGTTACACGACGCACGGCAGCGAGCTCTGGGTAGCGGGAGAGCACAATATCCACGATCTTCAGGTGGGGGTCAGGAGTCTTCACGATTCAGGATTTATCCAGCAGGAATGCCAGAGTTCAGCACACTGTCCGGGGCCGACAGAGGACTGAAAAGACACATCCGGTTAGCACAAAAATAAAGAGCTCCTTTCTATACTTGTCACTGTACATGAATTTGAACCGCACACCTAGCCTCGTCTACCCTGACAGTCAGTTGGTTAGGGCGTCTGCCTTCCATTCCACCCGTGGTGGGGTGTATTCCGGTCATGCTCTCCACGTGACTCTGATGGGTTGGCCTACGACCGGTGGCAGCGGCCGCTTAAAGGGAGAATGCTGCCTGTTTGGAGCCTTTTCCTATTGTTGCATTAAACGCGTCCGGTTTGATCCGTAATACCAGTTTTCTCAAAATCCTTCTGAATGGCTAATAATTTATGTTTAAAGTCTAGCAGAAGCAACCTCAAAAGACTCCCTGCTCAACATCATGAAAGAAATGCATTCAAGTTCCCTTACTTTTCCAACGTGTGTGTTCCGTAACGCTTGCAACACACTAATTCGTCAAAACGCTTGCGTAGGAAGCGCTCTGGAAACTTGAAACTTTTTTAAGAGATAAATATTGCAAACGTGAGGCTATCGCTACGCGAATTCAAGGAAACACTATACTATGGCTTTGATTTCTCCCCTAACCTAAGGAGTTTACCAGAGCGGCTCTTTACAAAGCGTACTTTGGCTTTAGGACACACAATATCGCATGGTTTATAGCGATGCACTGGTTCAAATTTTAACCAAGGTGCTTCTCAGCACTTGCCGCTCGCTGTGCCAAGGGCAAACGTTCATTTATGCTGACCTCATTCATACCAGTAGAGGTGTCACTCTTAAGCCCGCATGTCCACGGCGTGCGGGTTAAAACAGCTCAAAAGCGGTACATTTGACCCGTAACAGCTGACGACCCTCAGCACACGCCATGACGTCCTTTTGCCGTCGCCATAGCGACACCGGTCGCGACAACTGCAGCTGTCGCGGACTCTGGATACACTTTGGGGCTACCAGGAAAGGAAGAGGTGAAGTGCTGTTTAAGGCGTTACCAACGTTATTTGAACTATGAATAATTAAAATGCATGCTCTTATCACATTTTGATGGTGCTGCAGTGGCACGGGTGTATATCTATATTCTTTTGTGAGGGCCCTGCCCACTCCCCATGTTCAGATAGACCCCCAATGTTGAGTTGCCCCCCCCCCCCCCCAATATTGATTTCGACACCCACAACATTTTGGGTTGAAATATTACAAAAGCGTAGGACAGAGCTCACCCTTACACAAGGACGATCTCCTCTGTCCTTCCTCGTAGTGGAGTCCCCATGGAGGGTGCAACTGCCTAACTTCAAGCCGCAACCGTTTAAAGCCGCAACCTGAACAATGCGTTCTCAATTGAGTCGTATCTTAAGTCATTGGGGCAAAACCGTTCTATAATTTGGCTTCTTATATTTGTCCGCCAAATGTAAGCCCAGATGCTTTTTTGCCGCAACTAGGTATGACATTGACACCACGGACTCTTTGTTGTAACATTTCAAGTGACAAGAAAGTTGGGTCGTAATCTTATTTCCATTTTGGCGCGGGATCGATACTTCAGATTATGGATGCAGTTCAATTACATAATAGGAGAAACCACACAAAAAACGAAAATCTTGCCGGAACAGATTTTTCGTCTGATTCCGTGCTGAGCATAGTTCTTTGTCAGCACCCCTAGCCTACCACCCAATAATCATAACACATCTTCAGCGAACCCAGTTTAACTCGGTCCCTTACCCAAAAAGCACGAAAGAACGTTTACCGTGTAATGCGACAACACGACTGACGGCTGCCCTTTAACCCGGCTGACACGATCCAGCCAACGGCCAGTTGGCCCTCGTTGGTGGACCAATGGACGGCCAACCCACCACCGCGCGTTTCGCCACATCACGAGTGTGTTCAGAATCAGGGTAGTAGATACCAAAGAAAGTCAGCATGACTTCAGTATAACTTCAGCCCTCTACCGACGTTGGGCTTCCACCAGGACGACTGGCGTCTCTGTGCGGCAATACGCGTTCTTTTTGCGAGCACTTTACGCATTGCAGCCAATAGGCTCGTGGGAAGGCGATGTGTAAATTGCCGGTGTGTTTCAAAATAAGTACGTGGCTACGTTCTCCTCCCAATTTGTGGAATTCAACGATAGGGGATTACCTCAGACTTTCAGGCTGCGAGGGTTTCAGGCTTCAGGAGCATTACTGCGTGCAGCAGATAATGATAATACCGTATGGTGCACAATGCTGCGCATCTAAATCAAACTCGTTTTGTACGCTGGCCATTCATCACTTTGTTATGCTGATGAAGAACCTCCCATTCGCAATGCAAATGGCTTACGTAATATGACATGCGTCTATCCAAGGGAAATTTACGTGCACCTCAAACAGCGCAACGATTTAACATTCACCACGCGTTTGGCAGTACTAGTAAGAGCATGCTCATTTTCTACACCACTGCTGCAACAAACTCATCCTCACCGTTCTGTTTACTACACATATTTATGTATCCGATTGGAGCAGTTCGCTTTTGGCCTTAATCTCACACAGCTATTGGTAAACGTGATTGTTCATTTTGAGTTGTTGAACACAATGAAGTATTCCTGGCTTGTTGATTATCATCATGTATGTCACTGATTACAGTGGTCGATGTCATGGCATAGTTGAAGTGAAAAATGTGGTACGACACTAAATTCAGACCAAAATTTTCGCGCACCGTCTGCGACTCACGCGAAAATCGAAACGCGATACTCGTTCCGGTGGGGGTCAGTTTGACCCCCTCGAAGGTTTTCCGCAGTAGTTTCCAAACGGTGGGGCATAGCCGCGTCAAATTTGGGACGGCCGTAGGCAATTAAATAGTAGATATTTTGTTATAAAGTCAGGCCGTGACTGTCAACGCAGGCAATGTCCAGAGAACCGTTCAATCTGATGCGATAATGGAGTGTTAGACGAAGCCACACATCTCTGAGATAATTAGTAGGCAATACAGCAATTGAATCAAGCACAAATTCCATTCCCCTAGGGTCAGGTATGAAGGTTGCTGTGCTTGCTGTGTGAGGTAGTTTCTGGCGCTCATTTCCGATTTACTACAAACAGTGACCGCAACAGACAAGCTCCATGGACTTCTTCAAACTCAGAGTAGATTGCTGACCTAAAATAACCCCGTTCGACATTGTTTTTGGGAACATACCGTCAAGCGTAATAATTGACGATTATTCAAATGCCAAATTGACGTAATGCCGTAGGATTCTAGTCACCATTACTTTCCAAAAGTAAAATAAATTAATGGCTTCAAATGAAACCAAATGAACTTTTGCTTGGCACGGGTATCCAGGCTAAGGCGGCTGCATGATGAGATCTGGAGACTTTTTAGACACCTATCTGAAGTTTGGCCTTGTTTTACCCAAAAGTCATGCCTAAAAACCTCAAATTTTTAAACAAGCGAGTTCACACACAGACCAATCCACCCCGTGAATTTGGTACTCCCATCTCTCTCAGTTTTCGAGATCTCAGGAAGTTAAATTGAACCCTCACCCGAGCGGAGGATATTCAACCGGCCACCGGACGGGCGCTGAAGAGAGCAGCAGTTTATACGGGAGGCGCTGCGACTTAGTCACAGGAAAACACCATCGGAGTAGACTGTGTAATTTGGCCGCTTGACTTGGCCTCCAAACCATGTGAATAGGTCCGTTAATGTAGCCGGATGCCTATCACCCCATAGAAACAAAACATATATGTTTGCCCTTTAATGCAGTGCACAAGTCCATACTATAACACTATACCCGCGTAATATAAAGTATTGTTTGCTCCCACTGCCATACAGCACATAACAGCTGAACGGATAAGCGATGCAAAAACTTTACATAGCTATGGCCATAAGACCCGCAAGGGTCTGAGAGGTTAAAATGAAAAGCCCCAGAGCACGTGGATGATCGAAGTCCTTCATGACTAGCACTGTTCCCGTCTCCCACAACCAAAAATACGGGCCGTCGCCCGTGGCCAAAATAAGTGTTCTTTCGACGGCCGAAGGCCACATCTAGAGGGCCGCATTTACCTCCGAATCAGAGGGACATAAGCCTCCAGTGTGCCCTCCCCTGGATCCGTCCCCGCAGCACTGCCATGCTCCTTAAATTAAAACTGTATTAAATGATACAAAAATTGGCAATGCAATTTGCCTTTCGCCAAAACCAGGCGGGCTAAATCCGTTGAGACAGAACAGGGGGAAGGAGATAAGGTTGTCGGGCCCTCGGCTCGGCCCCCAATCATTTACATAAATTGGCACCCCTGCGCATCGGCACTACCCCGTACTATTGTCAAAGGAAACTGGCCTTTCGGTTTCACCGGAACATCTTTTTGAAATACGCCAAGGGCGAGACACTCCCTCTAAGGCAAGGTGGCCGCAGTGGGCAATGCCGGACACGGCGGCAAGGCAAGCTTTCGCCGCAAAATTCCGCCGCTGACCAGGAATTTCACAATCGGCAGGGTTCGGGCTCACACAACAAGCGCTGCTGAGCGTGGGCGATGATCCCACACATCCTTATGTTGAAAAGGTTTGGAGTTAGCCTTACAAAATGTGCAATTGCCAAAGCGTTATTCCCGTTAAGCATTCCTCGAGCAATACCAGAGTTCCATACATGACCACATGGACCGGGGAAGCAGACTACCGAAACCGCTGACTCATCCATTAACGCAAACGACGCAGGTAAGCTTCACAGAGGCGGGGTAGACAAGCGGGAGCCCCCTCCCCTCTCATAAACATAAACACGCATCGTACGCGACGCGGCAGACCGCCGGAGCTATTGTACGCAGAAACGTAGATGTAACCCAGAAACGTGATCGGGGACACAAAGCATCTCATGTGAGACGACAGGCAAAAACATTCGCATGGGCAAAGGCTTGCAGAAAAAGTCCAAAGACACAAGATATCCGTGAGGAGTTAGAGTTGTAGACAAACCATCAACTGCACGGCATTGTCCGAGGCGCAAACCACAATAATCAGTGCGACAGGACACAAATCATCGCCTGCAAAACAAAGGATGACACAGCCCATCGCCTGCAGAGCGAGGTCAATGCCACAGTCCATCGCCTGCAGGACGAGATCAATGCCACGGCCCATCGCTAGCAAGGCGAGGTCAATGTCACAGCCCATCGCCTGCAGGGCGAGGCCAATGTCACAGCCCATCGCCTGCGGGGCGATGTCAAGGTCACAGCCCATCGCCTGCAGGGCGAGGTCAATGCACACACCGTGCCGGTGCGGCCAGCGGCTTACTGCCGTCAAATCACGGCGGCGGCTGGCGGACATGAGACGCGCACACCACTGCGTGGTCTGCCCTGCCTTGGACATGGGAAAACACGTGTGTGCGTACGGAGAAGGGGGATGAACGAGCGGCGCACCCCCCCCCCCCCCCCCGCTCCCCCAAGAGCGAACGACGTGTAAGCGGGCGGACGTGCCCCTTGAACCGCCCACTGCACTGTCTAGTGATCTTTGCACGTTCGCTGGAATTGTCTGAGGACTCTGTCGCCTCCTGCCAGATGTTCGGGCGGGTCAGGCTTTGCTCAGCACATCATTACGTGACGCCGAGGCAAATGTTCGACTAAAGGGAGAGGAACAAGCACACGGATAGTGACCACCAATAGCTCCAATCCCATTAGCTGAAGGGCCTGTCTGTGATCTGCACAGCTTGCAATGGTGAGGCTTTTCTCAGACGTCCAGCACATAACTGTGCTTAGCTTTGCTTGCCACATAGCTGGCCGAGATTTTCCATCACGAAACCGATGTTGCGGCCGACTACATAATGAGTCACAGCCAGTTTACCGGCTGAAAGCAACTGGGCCTCAAGGAATCACTGTTGGCTATTTTAGTCACACTGACAAACAGTTATAGCACACTCCCATAGACTCATTTAGGATATTTTTTGACAACTCTCTCTTAACGCTGCAGTACTTGCATTCAACACTTGTCAGCTATGGCCGACACACTTTCCAGTGACCTCACTGTGACATCACAATTTCCAATTATATTACGGCAAAAACCAGGGCACCAAGTGAAAATATCGTCCGGGACTTGTTACTTTTGAAAAGGTCGGTCTGTAGCCAGAATGATATCCCCATTCTAAGAAAAAGTAATACGAAATCACTGGACTGTTAAGTTCAATCCATTGAAATGACTGAGCCATCGGGGATTATGAGCCAGCGCGCTTCCAACACAAACTAAGGCCGAAAGTGATCACGACAGTGACGGCCACAGATCCGCCGGCTTCCCCGAGAACGCATCCCAGTGAGGAGGGTAACGTCATCCCTGAGCTCGAGCTCACACTCCAGCAAGGAGGGTACCGTCATCCCTGAGCTCCAGAACACATCCCAGCGAGGCCAGTCACCCCTAAGCTCGAGAACACATCCCAGCGAGGAGGCCACCGTCATCCCTGAGCTCGAGAACACATCCCAGCAAGGAGGCAATCGTCATCCCTGAGCTCGAGTTCACACTCCAGCAAGGAGGGTACCGTCATCCCTGAGCTCGAGAACCACAGCGAGGCCAGTCATCCCTGAGCTCGAGAACATATCCCAGCGAGGAGGGCACCGTGATCCCTGAGCTCGATAACACATCCCAGCGAGGCCAGTCATCCCTGGGCTCGAGAACACATCCCAGCCAGGAGGCCACCGTCATCACTGAGCTCGTGAACACATCCCAGCGAAGAGGCCACTGTCATCCCTGAGCTCGAGAACACATCCCAGCGAGGAGGCCAGTCATCCCTGAGCTGTAGACACCACACACGCCCGCCCTGTCGAGCCCACACTCAAGCCGGCTTATCCAATCAACACCAGCCCGACGAGATTACAAAGGTAACCGCGGCCATTGTAACGACACACGCGGCCACGAGCGGCGACCGCACTGGCGCACCACAACCCACTAAGCGGTGCAAAAATGAAGGCGAGCAAGGCACCGTGGTCAACACAGCAAAAAGGCGACACTTTTCAGGAGAGTGCGAAAGATTTGTGACCAGTTAATGGCAATTTCATTATAATACGCTCTAACGAGGAATATTTCGGTATATCTTGACAGCATCTGGCTCAAACAAAGCTGTGACACCACCTTTTCCTAGAACGAGGCCAACATTACGATCTCGCAGTACTATTTAAGCTGGCCCATTAGATACAAAATAACTACGGTTGTTGTCCAGGCCCGACTGTGTTGTCATTGGCGCCATATTAAGCGCACATAATGGGACTGGTGGCGACGCAATGCCATCCCTTGGTAGGTACATCGTCACTTTAGTGACTTTGTGGTGCTAGCCTCCCGCGGCGCCCGCACCATAGCAGGGACTGCACAGAAAATTGCAGCGCAACTAGTGAGCGACCCATACAGCAGCAACAACCATACCATACCAATCACGAGACGTCAACATTCTACACACTGAACTCGAAACGGCTTGGTTTGATCGGTGATCTTTTCAGAGCGCCGCACTTGATGTTTTACACGATGTAACGATCTGCAAATACCACGATATACCCCCCCCCCCCCCCCCCCTCCTTACAACAAAGCCCCCGAGACAGAGTTATGTCTCTTTACAGGCCCGACACGAGCCCAGCTTCGATCGTACTAGCACTGCTGACTTTTACAATACTGGCCCATACCGCGGCCGGTGCGTGCTCGCCTGCACCTGGTGCAATGCGAGAGTCTGCGGCGATCTTGCATCAGCGAGACGCCAGCGCGCCTGACCGCGCCGGCGACAACAGCGATAATCCCACAGCGCCGTCCGGTGTATTTGCAATCTGGACAATTCGTAATGGAGGACTGGACCGCCGCGGGAGCGTGTCTGTGGTTACCCCGGCCGGTGTGGCGGGTCCACGCCCGCTGCTACGGCCGTCTGCTGCGGCCTTCGTCGGCTAACCAGCAGGGGTGTCATGTCATGTCATGCCATTGGGGCTTTACAACGCACTCAGCTGCTGAGCCTATATGGCGTCGCCTGCCTCTCACCCTGGCGGGAAGGGCGGGCACCGCGGGGAATCGAACCCCGTACCTCTAGTTTCCCAGACCAGCACGGGTGTCTGTGGTCGTGTGGTCTGCGCGGCGCCGTCACGCTGTCGCTGCGGTGTGCTTAGCCGCCGACACTTCGGGGTACGGTTACCAGCAGACGGTGCAGGATGATGGCCAACAGACGGTGCGGTACGGTTACCGACAGACGGTACGATACGCTTATCAGCAGACGGTACTGTGCCGTTACCTACAGTCGGCACAGTGCCATCACCCGCCGGAAGCGCGACCGGAGAGTGCGAGCGCTAGCGCACAGACAAGCGGTGCCGTACGGTGTGGTTACCTGCAATCGGCGCGGAATGGCCGCCTGTTCGTGCTCCATCAGGGCGGAGAAGGTGACCAGCTCGAGGCGCGTCTGCTCCAGCTGCTCGGTGGCGTCCTGCAGCTGCTTGGCAAGCGCTGTGCTGCGTGACTGGTACCTGTCCGGCACACCAGACGGTCAGGTGCGGCACGTCCGGCAGGCGCGCGCCAGCAGCCACCCTCCCTCGCCCCTTCCACTCAGACACCCGCGGGACTGTCAGGCATTCACGAGGTCACCACAGGCACGTCAGATGACAGATGCATCACGCCCGTCGGACACCGACCCAACACATCCGACGCACACCAGACACATTGCATGCATACAATGACAGCACGACACACATATGGGGCTCGAGTGGCAGGGAGGCAAGAGAGCGGCACAGCGTGAGACAAGGGCAGAACATATCCAGCCCGTTCCACACTGGAGCAAATGTGGCCCGCCGAGGTGGGCGCCAATCCCTGACAAAATCTGATCAGAATGTCACAGTCCCGGACCACCAACACTCTCGACGAGCATCGCCGCTGGCTCGTGACGGGGTGCCCCGGGCCGTCGGTTCTCCGCCGCTGCCGGCATCGCCACTCACCCTCCAGTCAGGATCTTGAGCTTCTTCTCCAGCTTGGCGGCCCGCTTGGCTTCACGCGTCATGTGTGTTCGGTTCAGCTCCAGTCGCTTTTCCAGCGACTCGATGCGGTCCTTTTTGCTGGCCAGGTTAGCGCGCGTGTAGCGGCTCTGGCTGGGCAGGAACAGAACCTGGCAGGCGGTCAGGGCGGACGTCAGCCGGCTGGGACTGGGGCTGGGGCTGGAGGTCGGGTTGGGGTTGGGGCTGGGGCTGGGGCTGGGGCTGGGGCAGGGGCAGGGGCTGGGGCTGGGGCTGGGGCTGGGGCTGGGGCTGGGGCTGGGGCTGGGGCTGGAGGTCGGGTTGGGGCTGGGGTTGGGGCTGGGGCTGGGGCAGGGGCAGGGGCTGGGGCTGGGGGCTGGGGCAGGGGCTGGGGCTGGGGCTGGAGGTCGGGCTGGGGCTGGGGCTGGGGCTGGGGCTGGGGCTGGAGGTCGGGTTGGGGCTGGGGCTGGGGCAGGGGCTGGGGCTGGGGCTGGAGGTCGGGTTGGGGCTGGGGCTGGGGCTGGGGCTGGGGCAGGGGCTGGGACTGGGGCTCGGGCGCGCGCGCTAATGAGAACAGACGCGACAGCCTGCAGATACAGTGCGGCAAAACAAACAATAATATATGACATCAAAGCAGTACCAAATCTAGGATGCAGAAGCAGAAAAACTGTGCTGTCTAAGACCACCATGGGAAGCAGCAGGAGCGCTCCACAAGGTTGATCTGACTCACTGGACCACGCGGCTAGACGGGTTTGCCTCCATGGTACCGTGATACAGAGCAGACGGCAACAGACGCCGAAAACGCTGACCAGGGACCATGGGCCGGATGCCGGGTGCCGCGCGCCCGGTCGGCGCGTCGAGCGGGGTCTCACCTGGGAGAGGCACTCCTCCCAGACCTGTCTGTAGGCCTCCTTCGTCAGGTCGCCGTGTCCCATGCCCTGCTTCACCACGTCCATCTCGCGGCGCAGCACCTGGCGCGCCTGTGGCAGGCAATACGGCACGGCCTGTGACCCGCCGCGGGACGGCACACTGCATCCCGCGCACAGAGCAACAACACTGCACCCCACTACTAGAGGAGCAACAGGCACTGCATCCTACTCACAGAGCAACAACAGGCACTGCTCAGACTAAAATCGCCGAGAAACCGCAGTCGATGTCTACTAGCGCACGCAGAGACTGTCACAAACAACGACCTTTCCCACTCACAGAACAGCCGGAGCACCGGACTCCCAGAATACCCGACGAGTCCACTTCACCCTCACCTGTTCCATGTCGGGTTCGTGCACCTGCTGGTAGGGGTGCGTCTCCAGGTAGGTCTGGTACTGCTGAAGCACGGCCGCCGGGGCGGACGGCAGCGGGTTGTGCAGGCCGTCGTACCGCTTCATCACGATCATCTCTCGCTTGATCAGCTCCTCCGCCTGCAGCCGCGGAGGAAACGCTGAACGACGCAGCCTCGAGGCGGTGGCAGGGCCGGGCGCATCGCACAATCTGTATCTCATTATATAACACCTTGCACCCACATCCAACATGCCACAACAGGAGACGATTAGAACATGCAGATGGCATAATGCATGTGGGCTTAAGTAACATAACAGACAACGCTTATCTGCACGCCTTCACGTAATCCCTCTCCCTCTCCTCCTACCGCGCTGCTGCACTGATGCGGCCGTCAACGCGGTGCCGCACATCCTTCAGCAAAAACCTTGGCACCCCAGAAGTCACGGGCCACCAGCACAGCGCACCCGGAGCTGGCGGACGGTTGCCTTCACCGACACACCGCCGCGCCCGCAGCCCCAGTCGGCCCACCTTCTGCAGGTCGGAGAGCGGCGGCTCGACGTTGGCCGGCCGCAGCACGGACGCGTTGACCTCTGTGGGGCGCGGCAGGTGGCGCTGCAGCGCCTGCGAGCGGGCGCGGAGCTCGCGCTCGCGCCGCTCCCGCTCGGCCTCGTCGCGGCGCGCCTCCACGTCCGCCTGGTCGGGCACCAGCTCGGCCGGCCCGGCGGCCGCCTCCTCCGGCGCCGGCTCGTCGTCCGGCACCACGATCTCGAAGTCGTTGCGCGGCGCCGGCAGCGACGACAGGCTGAAGCGCAGCTGCTCCTTGATCTGTGGCCGACGACGGGGCGTGCGTTCTAGAAAGGAGCCTCTACACCCCATCGGAAGGCAACAGAATCCTGTCCCAGCTGAGTCAGAGAGCAAGGCCCTGTGTAACATAGACCGAACAGCAGTCGTTCAGTACACGATGCCTTGAGTCAGAACGTTAACATTGTACCACACCCGCGCCGCTCGGCAGCAGTCGCCTGCCCGAGCCAGCCCAGTCGGCGGCCCCACCTGCAGCTGCTGCTGTTTGCCGCCGGCGTCCGCCTCCAACGCGTCCTCGGCGTTGATGGCCAGCTTGTCCCGTAGCGGCGTGGCCAGCGGCGTGCGGCCAGCGCGCGACGCGCCCGGCGTGCTAAACCCGCCCGGCGTCTGGCCTGCTGGCGGCGGCGTACGGCCGCGGTCAGTGGTCAGCGGCCAGCGGCGGCGGCCGGCGTCAGCCGCCGGCGTGTCCCACCGGAGTGCGTTGCAATCACGCCGGAGACACGAGCGTCAACGGGCGCACAACAACACGAGCGCGAACATTTGAACACGAAAAATCAGCTGCGCCCACCCACACGTGGTGAACACGGGCGCGAGGTGAGGTCACCGCCCATCGCAACACCAAACGCACATCGCCGAATCATCGCCATCACGTCCGAACGCACACAGCACTCGCCGGCCGACAGATCCGTCCGAACGCCGCCGGACCCGTGCCACGGCGCGCGCGCGGGCCGGACGGCCGTACCCGGGTTGTCGCGCGGCGTGCGGTACGGCGTGGTGAGCATGGTGTTGGGCGTGGCGATGTCGGGCTTGGCCGGCGTGATGCCGCCGAAGTCGGAGTCCACGAGCGGCGCGTTCAGGCCGCCCTTCAGCGGCGTGTCCGTGTGCGTCAGCGCCATGATGTTCTGCGCCTCCTGCGACGCGGCCCAGCGGGCAGAGGGTCAGCGGCAGGGCCGAATGGGACAACGGTCACAATGGAGGACACCAAGCCATGAACAGGCGCCAGTGCGCACGCGGCCCCAAGAAACATGAAAACAGGCTTCTAACATTTTGACGGAATCTCTATCTAGGCAGCAGCCTGAACAGAAATAATGCAAAACACCGAGCCTTTACATTCTCAAGTCCTGTGTTCATCACTGTGGTGAGCCTGTCCGCTGAAGAGCGGCGGAGCCGGCGGCGGCGGCGGTGGCAGCGCACCTGGAGCACGCGGTCGGTCTGCGCCATGGGCGTGCGCGCCGTGCGTAACTGGCCGGTGGCCGGCGTGGCCGAGTAGTCCGATAGTAAAGCGTCGGTGGCGCGCTCCTCGCCCTCCTCTGTCAGCTCACGCACCGCCTCCGACGCCTTGCCCACCTTCACCACCTGCTCCAGCTCCTGAGGGCGGCGGCGGCTCGTTCAGTCGGGCGATATCGAAGCCGGAATGAGGCGGCTGCGGGCACCGCTCGCAGGCCGCACACGGCGGCACGGATCGCTGACGGAGACCGAGCACCCCGGACACTGGACCCAGACGAGCACGCTGGATGCTGGACCCAGACGAGCACGCTGGATACTGGACCCAGACGAGCACGCTGGATACTGGACTCAGACATCAGCCGAAAGGCACGTCGCCCAAGCCACATTATGAAGACTGTGCCGACTGTAGAACGGCGGGTAGCAGTGCATGTACTTTACGTTGCTGCAGCCGACACCGTGCACGCGCGGTGCATTCGCCCGTTCCCTTTCGACCACAGAATGCGAATATCGTCTCTCGACTACAGATCGACGAACAGCCCAGTTTACTAATATCCGCAGTCACGAATAAGCAGTACAAGGGCGACGCTGATCGCCCCATCCGGCGGCCCAGTACTCACGACGTCCGAAATCTGTGGTGATGGCAGCACCAGCTTGGAGCGCTTCTTGGCCGGTTCCTGGTTCTGCAGCAGCGCGCTCGGAATGTCGTTCTCCTTCCGCTTCTTCACCTTATCTTTGTCCTTACGCCGCTCACGCTGACGACAAAAGAAGACGCGTTAACTATTATCATTATAGATGGCCGAACACGCACTGACGATCCTGACGCAATTTTATGGACATTGCTTCGAGCACACATAGCCACCACGATGCAAGCGACCTACCTCAAATGTGGAGCAAACTTATCAGATAGCGACGCCTTAGCAATGTAGTCACGAACTGATTCGGTCACTGCCAGCAATCCACATCACCGGCAGCATAGAGTGCAGTATGCATCCAAACATCGAATATGCAACAGGCTGGCCAGCGAAAAACATGGCCCAGGATTTCTTTATCCCCCCTCCCCGCCCCCTGCTGAGACGCACTCGATGGGCCCGCAATCGTCGACATGGAAGTTCCAGTTCGCTTGACGCGACCCGAGCTGGGCGGTGGTCTCCTGGTCGCCTATCCATCTGCCCTCTCTCCAATGCCGTCCGTGCTCGATGCCTCCCACTCCCGGATCGACTCTCCGCCGACACTCTCCCCGGCCCGGTCGATGCCTCCCACTCCCGGATCGACTCTCCGCCGACACTCTCCCCGGCCCGGTCGATGCCTCCCACTCCCGGATCGACTCTCCGCCGACACTCTCCCCGGCCCGGTCGATGCCTCCCACTCCCGGATCGACTCTCCGCCGACACTCTCCCCGGCCCGGTCGATGCCTCCCACTCCCGGATCGACTCTCCACCGACACTCTCCCCGGCCCGGTCGATGCCTCCCACTCCCGGATCGACTCTCCGCCGACACTCTCTCCGGCCCGGTCGATGCCTCCTACTCCCGGATCGACTCTCCGCCGACACTCTCTCCGGCCCGGTCGATGCCTCCCACTCCCGGATCGACTCTCCGCCGACACTCTCCCCGCCCCGGTCGATGCCTCCCACTCCCGGATCGACTCTCCGCCGACACTCTCCCCGGCCCGGTCGCCTTCAGAGCTGAGCATTCGCTGCGTCTGGGACTCCGATTCCGATTCGAAATTCAAACAGGATGTAAGCTTGGTAGAGATCTGTACCCACATTTCGGAACGACAAAGCGCCGTTGTGTCTTGTAGGTTGCTTACATTGCTTACTGACTGGCGCCATCCACACCCGGCCAGCGTCCTCACATTAGAAAATCGTGCCAAGCAATTGAGTTGATATCTACTTCACGCAAAGTAGACCGTTCTGCCAGAGGAGACCCCTCAGGTTGTGGAGGCAGCTCGCGTCGCATTAAGGACATTAAATTTCGGCCTGCCACTCCCCCATGCCAATAATCCGTGGTGCCGCAACAGACTGACCGAGTCGCCGCAGAGACTATTTTACCTCTACTTCTACAACGACCCAGTGACACATGGTGGCGGCGAAGTAAGACCAGTAACCACAGCAGTTCGGTCAGACAATAACAAATGCACTGCAATCAAACACAGGAGAGTCGGCTCGGCGCAGCGCAGCACCGACACATACTAGGGCAAGATATAGTTTATGCAAAGAACAAAATGAGCACAGAGTGTACGAAAATTTATTTATTTCATGTTGAAATGATGATCCTTTTAACTCGATTTTTTCATTACAACTTGGGCACTGAACTTCACAGATTATATCCTTGTTTTCAGGAGTTGCAAATCAACAAGCTTCCAATCTGTTCCAACCCTGTGCACCGAGAGCTCATCTTAAGCTTCCCCCCCAATCCAAACCACATGGAGGCTCCGCTCATCCCTCCCCAAGTGGTCTCCCCACCGCCATACCTCTGGGTTGGCGGTGGGGAGACCGCATACCGCTCCCCTCTGCTCCTCACCCCGCGTAGTCCCGTCATTCCCGCGACGTTCGCCTACCCTCCACCGTCCCTCCCTGTACCAGAAGACCATCTCATCCTCCCTGTTACCTTGGAGAAGAACCTCCGGCCTCCAGCCCGCCACCACTGTCGGCTCACCTCTTCCTTCTCGCTGCGCTGCTCGCCGTCCAGGTGCTGCTGGCGCAGCCGCCGGAAGTTGGGCGCCAGCGGGTCGTACTCGTCCTCCGCCGCGTCGTAGAAGCCCACCGCCGGCCGCTTCTCGAACGGGATCTCCGCGTTGTAGTCGATGCCGCGCTTCTTCTTCTTGATGCGCGGCACCAGCTCGATACCGGCGGCGTACAGCTCGCGCCGCTTCTGCAGCGAGGCGAGGCGGCGCGCCTCCTCCAGCTGCTTCTCGCGCGCCTTGCGCTTGGCTTTCTTGCCCTGCGTGTTGGCCAGACGGGCACGCGCCTCCGACAGCATCTCCAGCTCTGGCGGCGGCCGCCAACAGGCTCACCGGGTGCGTCGCCGTACTAAGTGGGATGGCGCCACCATAGGGGTGCATTGCAGCGGGTAGCAGCGGGTTGTCCGGCCGACCGACGCGCAGACGCCGAACACAAAATACCAAACGTCGAATGCGGTCACCGAACACCCGACAACCGGCGACCAGGTGACCGACTTTCGTTGATCACGTCCACGGTCGGACAGGATTCAGGTCATGGGACAGAGTGGCGTTTACGGATGGGCGTCCAGACATGAAACACCAGCACAGCTCTCAAAAAGGCGCACGTCAATGCAGCACACGCAAACAAGCCTGTCGGGACGCGACGGCGGCGGCGGTGGCGACTTACCGTCTTCGTCCATGTCTTGCGGGTCAGGCCGGGCAGGCTTGGTCTCCGGGTTGGGGTCGATCTCGCCTGGTTTCAGCTTGCGCGGGTCGTCCGCCTCGTCAGTTTCCTCTTTCTTTTGCGCCTGGTCCCTAGCACAGTTACGACAGTACGTCAGTCGGCTATGACAATGACACATGACTGTCTCGGTGGATACAGGGCATGAAAGTAAAGGGTAAAAGGCTTGTTTGGTAGAAAATGGCGAAGATGTCATTTCCCTGAGTTGTGTTGCCAGGAACACAGAAGTCCTATCTTAGCAGTAAGAAATTAGAGCGGCGCAGACGTATCTTACACAACACTGGCAAGTACAATCATGAAAGTGGAAACCATGCAAAAGTCGCATTCCACGAAACCAACCAAATCTGCAATTGACATCGCTTGGAGCCTATCAACACCATGCAATGCCATATCTGCTACACCTGTGACATAGAATCCTACATCTCCCCCCCCCCCCCCCAGAGCTGCCCACTAGCAGGGCAACTCGTTTTCTCTCACTCTAACGCCATCCACTCACAGGAGCCTGTCCCTTCCTCTCCGACCCTGCCTTCTCAAGGGAGGGGCCTGTCCCTTCCTCTCCGACCCCGCTCACTCACAGGGGGGCCTGTCCCTTCCTCTTCGACCTCGCCCACTCACAGGGGGGCCTGTCCCTTCCTCTTCGACCTCGCCCACTCACAGGAGGGCCTGTCCCTTCCTCTCCGACCCCGCCCACTCACGAGAGTGGCCTGTCCCTTCCTCTCCGACCCCGCCCACTCACAGGTGAGCCTGTCCCTTCCTCTCCGACCCCGCCCACTCCCAGAGCCCGCCTCTCCCTCCCGGACGACGGCGACTCACAGGAGGAGCTCGTATCGCTCGAGGCACTGGGCGGCCGTGCGCCCGATAATGGGCGCGATGGTCCGCCACTGGGTCGGCATCAGCTTGGCCAGGTGCAGCAGGCGCTCATCCTCCTCGCGGCTCCACTCGGTCTTCTTGATGCTCGGGTCGAGCCACTCGTACCAGCGCGCCTTGCACTGCTTGGCCGACTTGCGGTGCAGCAGCGAGGCGATCCGCGACCACTGGTTCTTGCCGTACTTCATGACGGCCGCCTTCAGGATCTCGTCCTGCCGGCAGTGCACAGGTCAGGGGAGGCACTGGCTTATCTCTCAGCACGACACTACACTCCCCCCACCGGGGGCGTGCAGCGCGAACACGCACTGCATTCACGCCTGTAGTGGAAGATGGTATACCAGGCTTGGGGTGAAAAGAGCCATTCTAGATTGGTGAGGCTCTGACTGTTTCAGACCACTACATTAATGCTTACCTCTGTGTTTCTCCATATTCCTCCTTTGATGAATACTCGAGGCATCTTGAACACAGATGACTGAAAGTTAGGCTGAAATTACTCTGCTCGCCTAGCTGTCACAGAAAACAACGTGTACTGAATATACAGCTGGCTAGATCATGCTGTTCTTCTGAGAATGCATGCTCAGCAACTTCATCAAGTCAGTTCAGAAGTAAGCAGCTCTGAAAAGAAACAAAACATTCTGCATTAAAATGGTTTGTAGTATGTACCATACATACACTGATGCATATGGTCCCATATGTTTCCAAGCACAAGTGTTCAATGTCACCACATGAAAGTACAAAAACTGAGGAAAACATGGACCAAAACATACTTGCACTTTGGGGTGAGCTAACAGACAAAATCCAACATGTACCAGACCACTGAAACAGTGGTAGTTTCGTAGAAAAGTATTCAGTTTCTGTAAAATTGTCCACATGTACTTAATGCTTATGTTGCAACATGCTGCTTCTTTTACTTGCCCTAGGTCAGAGATATCCACATCACATGTTCTTTATAAACTAGGCCAAGATAGCATTCCACTACCATTAAGTCTATGTTCAGGATATCACAAAATAGTGGCAAACTGTGGGAGCCTGCAATGTCCTAAAAGCTATGTAGGTACAGGCCCAGCTCTCTTATTGATGATAACCAATTGCACACATCCATGACTTCCATCCACCTTTTCCCATGTGAGGGTAGGGCAGGACATTGGGTAAGCCTATAAAATGTGGTCAATTTTTATCAAATGTAGCTAGGTAAGGCTAGAACAAAACATTGAATTTGAGACAGCTTAGGAAATGCCTACAATGATGATTGGCTGAGCAGCACCCATCATTTTAACCTCTCTTAAGCTAGTACAAAATAGCATTCCCTGGCATCTGATGGCAACCCCTGGAGGATGGTATAGGTTAGATTCAAGGAGTAAGGAAAGGTATACAAATACATAGTGCTAAGAGAAGTTGTAGGTATATGGGTAGGAGGTGGGGTAGATGTAAAGAAGGAGTAGGAGGATGAGTAGAAGTGGTAGGGTTAGGTTAGGTTAGGATAGGCTAGGAGATGTAGGTATACATTCCTACCTAAGATTAGAAAAAATCATTGTACACCATTTGTTGTGTTTAAGGCTGAACTTATCATAAATAATCTTAAAACAGGTAGATTCATGCTCCTACCTTCAAATTGTAATATTTACGATAGCGAGCTCCCGAGCGCCGCACGCACCCCACCGCCTCGACTCCCCAGCGCCGTTTCTGCGTTGCTGTTGCGTAATTACGATGCTTCCGCTTATTAAGAACCATAAAAAATGTAGGGGACCAAAGGTAACAATAATAATGCAATGAAAAACGTTTCTTATCGCGTCTAGGTACGTTTATGAAACAGAGAGGCCAAAATAGTCCAGAACATAGCTGAAACTAAACTAGCCTAGCCTAATGTAACATAACCTAACCTAACCTGACCTAACCTAATGTAGTTAGCCTAACAACCTAATCTAGCCTAACCTAGCCTAACCTATTGTAACCTAACCCAACCTAACCTAACCTAACCTAACCTAACCTAACCTAACCTAACCTAACCTAACCTAACCTAACCTAACCTAACCTAACCTAACCTAACCTAACCTAACCTAACCTAACCTAACCTAACACCCACCCTATACCCTTCAACCCAGTGTCCCACTGGCATCCATGTTCCATGCCATATATATGTCCCATATTAAGAAGCTTTGTTTAGCCACCATATTCTCATTTTGCTTTTTATTCCCACACAAAAATGTCATATTTCCCCACCATGTTGACCAATCTACAAACAATATGGAAGACTGCTTGGATACACAAGAAAAACATTTTACTGAATTCTTGTTACCTTGGCCAAGTACATTTTTATGGTTCTTGATGCACAGTAATGTTGTGATCGCACAGTAATGTTGCGACCATGTGTAGAAATGGCGCCGGGTTTGTGGTTGCTGCATGTTTGCGCTCATATGTTCGCTATGGTAGTTATTTAAGTTCCAAGGTAAGAGCTTAGATGACCTGTTTTATGATGAATTACAGTATATTCTGCCTTGAAGATGACAATTGATGTACAATGCTTTTTCTTAACATGAGGTAGGAATGCATATCCTGACCAGTTAGGACATTTGCATAATTATTTGTTTGAATTTCTAGTGCTATGAATTATTTGAAAGATGTTATCCCAAATGCACATTTACATTAACCCTGTCCTAAATTCTCATGTGCTCTGGTCATCACAATATACAGTAGTTAAACAGCTCCAGCCATGAACACCATTTGGCTGTTATTATCATCCCAGAGAAATTCCATAACAGAGAAAGTGTTGCTGCATACACATAGGCAGCCTAGGAATTTGTCCTTATGTAAATGCACATTGTTAGAATATTTTATCCATTTGCCGACCTTGTGAATATTCATCCTGGCATCATCAGCAAATGCAGGACAATAAACATACTGGGGATTGGCTCATGCATCACATCAAGCAATGTTAATATGATGGAAATTCAGGAGCATTGACAAGGGATAACAGACAGAGAGAGAGAAAGAAAGCAGGGCAATAATGACAAAATAGCACTCATTCTTAATATCGACGGCTATTCATGACCATTATGTTCTTGGTAGCTCAAGGAGGTATGGCTCAGGATGCGATTTTCGCATTAGCATCAGCGAAAAAACTTCGAAAATTATGAATACCCTATCTTCAAACCAAAACAACTTCACCTAAGAGCCGTCTTCCAACCAAACAATTAACCAATCAGAAAACCAGAGATCGATACCTTTCCCGCGAACGATCGACGCACACACACAAATATACCCCGCAGTCCACCAGTTCCCTATCCCACGCGCATTCCGAGGCAATCCGAGCGAAAAATTGCGCCGAGACTGCCGCAATCTACAGACCTATCCGGCTGCTGCTGATCATAGCGTAACATGAGGGCATTGGAGCCAATGAGAGGATGGCCAGCAAAATCGCCACCATGGATTCAGTAAAAAAGCGGAAAACGCAGCCGTCGCAGCAAAGCAGTTACAGCTACACGGTCAGAAAATTATTAGTATGTAGTAAAGGAGAAATAATACCCATGGCTTTCAATTCCCGGGATTTTGAGTAAAGGCATAAATTCTTGACTTCCCACCAAGTTCTGAGGGAACTGGGATCTTTTCCAGGGAAATGGAATTTCTCCCAAGTTGGCGTTTGAAAAGCATTAACCAGTTTCGGCTCCTTCTCTGTAGTCAAATTCAAAGGACTCAACGTCAAATTCACAGAAAACTGGGGCTCTCTCCTTCCCCAATAGTTCCCGCACCACAACTCCTGTCACCTCCGTGGTCTGCGGTCAGCAGTACTTTCATCAAAGTGATCGGACCGAAGATTACGCAGATTGCTAACGTCATTGGTTAGATGTGGATTCCGTGCTTGCTCCAAACAGTTGTTGCTGTTGACACCAGATTTCGCGATCCCCGTCCCCACGCGCGTCTCATGCGTGGTAAGTCGGAAATAGTTCGCGGATGTGGGGGCGGTCGTTTTGCGCGGTTTCGTACTTACCTTGTACTGAGGTTGCAGAACAATCTAACGTGAGGTAGATAATGACAGATAACCTGTTCATGTCCTGCGTATCAGGATTCTTATGAAAACATCGGGCTCGTGTGTCAATTTGTATCTGAGTGGATTTGGAAGGTTGTGCCAAAAATGTAGTTCAAAAGTCGCGCCTCGTTGACGCGGCGGTTCTCCCATATGATATTTACGATGAGACGTGGGCGGAGGGGGGAGGGGATAGGGAAGTAGGGGCCACTCATGATACAGTACAGGAACCATGGCAAACATGCCAAGATGTTGGGAGGACAGAATCCTGCCCCAGTGGGTAGCAAGCTGCCCCCAGTTTGGACACATTTTGCTAACCTCCCTTAGCCCCCAAAACTTGATGTATCATCAGACTTAGCTATTTTCCTTCATCTCAGTAATTTTGTGAGTAATAAATGACGTTTTGGTGTGCTGCAGTAACATCCGCCTCAAACTTTGATCAGCTGCTCCAGTTAGGAAGCTGTGCCCCACCTGCCAAAACATGATTTCATCAAAATCTGCCATGGTTTGCAAGACTTGCTCACAATGTCCATAATAATGAATGGGAAAAGAGAAGAGTGTTTTGTGACAAAGCTGTCAAGAATGCACAGGCAATGTTGGCTAGCATTGGTGTCCACCACATCATTTGCCAGGCAGAGCAGATCTTGACATGTTGGGCACAGATGGGGCATTAAACTGAATTTGTGGCAGATGGTTGATGTTTAGGGGCAGAAGTTCATGAAGAAAACCAGCTCATATCACCATGGTGTTGCTGAGGGTGATATTTACCCTCCAGCTGACTATGCGTGCTGGGGCTGGAGTCATAACCAGGAACACAGAAGCAAATGTGTGCCTGGACAATGCTCACAATTTTCAAGCTAACTTACATTTTTCTAGGTGGTTTCTGGATCAGAAAAGTTACACAGTTGGAAGGTTAACCATTATAGTTAACCATTATATTATAGCTGTTACATTATACTCAATGCATTCATACTTAACACTTACATGGTGTCTACCCTGATGGGGTCAAGCCCATGAGCTCAAATGCATAATTATTGGGATGTTTTTCTTTGACCTCTTTTGAGTCAAAAAGTAAATCAAGTGTCAAGAGGTTAGGAAAATACAGTCTGTAAAGAGGTACCCACAGCCATGTCATTGCTGAATGCATAGTTGTTTTTGTTGATGATGTTTAAATTATCAGCAGGCACATGATATTTTAAGAATTGGTCAGGTCTGGGTTGAATCGTTATCATACATTGTGCTGTGCATCTGTTTTGTCACTAATTGAGAGAGCAAGCTACTTGTTATTTGGTGAATAACCCTTTCCCAACACAATAAGGTAACAGCATTATTGTCTAACCAAACACTTGCAAATTTTTAAGTTTCCTTTTGTTAATGCTGAATACCTTGTATTCCCTTGGGTCTGTAGCAGTGCTTTAGCAAAAGTCATGTGGCCAGGAAAGTGTTAAGTGCCTTTCACGACATAAAGACAAGCTGGATAGAGACATCAGCAAGCAAACGAGTGTGTTAGTTGCACACATTGCAGGGTACTTTGGGCTCACTTTCTGGGTCAGCATAATGGTGACAGTGGTACATTCCAACACTGGTCGCCCCACACTTTCTTGACATCTGCCTATGGCTGTTGATGCCATAATTCTTGCCCCTCCCCCTCCAGGTGGCACCGTAATGGCGTCCTCCGAGGAGCGAGAGAAGCTGCTGAACCAGGTGAAGCGTGACATCCGCAGTCTGCTGATCTCGTCCAAGTCGGGCCTGACCATCCAGGACTTGTATCGCGACTACCAGTCGCTTGTGTTCAGCACGCTGCCCTTTCGGCAGCTGGGCTTCGAGACAGCGCGCAGCTTCCTGCGGTCGATCCCTGATGTGTGCCGCTGCCAGGTGCTGCCCGACGGCGACGTGCTGGTCACGGCCGTCGCCGACAGCTCCACCGCGCACATCCAGAAGATGGTCGACCGCCAGAAGTCGTCGCAGAAGCGAGGCACCATGGCACGCGTGCTCTGCCGCTACGGCATGCGGCGTGCGCCGTTGGCGCGCGCAGCCGCCTACCGCGCGCAGCCCGCTGAGTACCGGGGCCGGCCGGCGACCGAGCAGCAGGCGGGGCAGCCTCCTGAGCACCGGCCGGCGCCGGCGGCGGCCCCGGCGCCCCAACCGGCGGCGATGGCGGCGGCAGCGGCGGCGGCGGCGGCGGCGGCGCTGGCGGCGGCCGACAGTCCGCAGCCGGTGCCGGCGCGTGTGGCGGGCCGCGTGGCGCAGCTGCTGCTCGGCCGCGAGGAGGGTCTGTCCATCGAGCAGCTGGAGACGCTGCACGACAACGACGCTGACGAGCCGCTGAACTGGGCCGGCCGCGGCTACCGCAGCTGCGCGGACCTGCTGCTCCATCTGCCGCACATCGCGCGCGTCGTCAGCTCCTTCCGCGGCCTGCAGGTGTACCCGGCCCCCGCGCTCATTGGTGAGTGGACCGGCGTCGTCGCCAGCGCCCGCTGATGGGGGGATGGGGGGGGGGGGAGGGGCCGCGCTCCTGGGCGTGCCCCTCCCCCGCCAGTGCCCGCTGATGGGGGAAGGGGCGGCGCTCCTGGGTGCCCCTCCCCCGCCAGCGTTCGCTGATGGGGGGGGGGAGGGGGGGCGGCGCTCCTGGGCGTGCCCCCACCCCCCCGCCTTCGTCCGCTGATGGGGAGGGGGGGGGGGGGCGCTTCTGGGCGTGCCTTGAGGGACGCAGGAGCGTCGCTCGTTGGCGATGGGGCTTGATGCGCGACGTCTCGCTGCATGATAGGCAAGATTGCGCTGTCGTGCACTATCGGGTGACCGGGCGGAGCACAAAATTAAAGTTTTGCGGGTGTATTGGGTGGTTGTCTATTGTTCAGTAGGTTTATTAAATGAGTGCAAAACTTTGCGAATTAAGTAGCGAACGACCGAATACCATGTCGAAATGACGAGTTGCCAAAAGACTGCACCTCTTGCCGCATTACATAGTGGCTTTGCCGCCTCCTTAGCCCATTAGAAGATGGATTATATCTATCGTACTATCTGCTGCAGGCTATGTGGGCTCACATTTAGGAAACAGCACTCAGTATTTGGTTGGACTAAGCTGGCCAGCTGGCAACCGATCAAGGTGGCCAGCCGTTGTTGAGATGCGACCATGTTGTGAAGGTGCATGACTGCTCGAGTCTTGTGCGCGGTACTTGGCTCTGCCGACACCGTATTGTTGAGTTAGAATTGTTTTGCTGTGCGGTGCAATCTTAAGAATGGTAATATGCTTGATGTAAATAAGACCATTGCACGAATCGCTGTTGTATTGCGCAATCATTTCTTCACAACTCACAATCCCAATCTTAAGGTATGGCTGCCTAGCATTTTGAGGCCGGGGAGGCTGTTTTTTCCTGTTGCGGAATTGGTAGCTATAAGCAATGTGCATACCAAAATTGTGGACGTCGATTAAACGCCGCCGAGATAGCGCGAATGTCGCTAAAGTCAGACGGTCGGCGTGTTCTCGGTCGTCAGCGTCCGCTAATAGACGCTCGGATCAACGAGCGCGTCCCCGGCGGCGTTCACGCGAGAAGCAAGGTACGGCCATGCATGCGTATCAGATTCGTGACAGATATGGTTGTGGTCCGGAGCATGTTGTAACGTTACTTTGGCCTCTTTTAGTCGTTGTGCTGACATCGTGACAGGTAATGGTAACTTGCTTGGAAACATCTGGGTGTGTTCGCATGGTGATGGAGTCAAGCCACGCGCATTTCTGCACTTCGGTCTCCTGGTGCGCGGTGATCATCCATGACCGTTCAAAACGAATGTGCATGGGTAGTCAGTGGTATCGAGTCGCTAGGTGAATTATCTTAGGAGAATGCGGTTGTGCGCCACAAACGTCATGCTGCGTTGGAATGGGTTGCAGCAGCACTTTCGCATGCCCGTCGCTTCGTAAAAAACGCACTGAAATGAGGACTTGTACATAATGTTTGTTTCATGTGCATTTATTAGATAATATTCGGCGTGTATTGCGCTGGCATGGTTTTGTCTTTGCAACATCGTCTTACGAGAAAATGATGAGAATAAGCTTTTATCACAGATGTTCGCCTGTTTTCCATTTTTTCATGTGTTGCGTTGTTTGCTTTCTGATGTCGGTTTCATGCTGGCCTTATAGTCCTTAGCGTTTTCACGTCGCCGTTTGGTTGTTCTTTGTTCGTTTCTTCACGTGTGTATGCATTCACTCATTCATTCATTTTGCTCGTTCGTAACGATCGATCGTCGATGATGGGGCTGTGTGTATTTTTATTCCATCGACTTTTTGCGTATCTTCATATGTTATTAGTCGTTTGCGATGTCGGCATTTGTTGACATGTTAACATGTTGACATTTGCTACATTGACGTAATGGCCCAGCTTTTATCATTCTAGAGCTCTAAAATGACAGAAACTGATCACCGAGTCCCACGCCACTGTATTTTTTGGACCAAGGCCACGCCAAAGATTTAAAAGTTTCCCCCCTACTCGCCCTCATCCAGGAAAATAAGTAACTCAGCATGTATCATTCGACGAAAAGCGTTTTTGTTGTCACGGTTCCGCATCTGAATCCGTTATCTCTGGGAGTCATTTGTTCAGGGCTGCAGCTGCCATGTCCCCCAGACCGTCATCCCGTGTACTACCGCACGTGGCACATGACGAACATTTTCCAACGTCTACCGATCTGTTGGGTTCCAGCCGCCGACAACGAGTCAAGAAAGCCACGCTCCGGCTGGCCGAAGCAGGAGCGGGCGTCACCGGACGAGCGCGCCAGCCCGCCCCCCGACGACGGCCCGTCCCCAGCCGGCGACCCGTCCCCAGCCGACGTGGCGGCCAGGGTCGCCAGTCCGGTGCCTTCCAAGAGCATCAGCAGCTCGGGTGAGTGAGCAGCGACGGAATGGCATGAGCCGAGTTGTCGGCTGGTCGGGTGTCAGCTGCGTATTGGGTGTTCGGAAGGGTTGTTCGTGAGACGCGGTTTGATGCGCCGGCCCGGTGTCTCATGAATATGAGCACCGGCCAGATATCCTAGCTAGTTGCAGCGTTGTGAGCTGGCCCCGGAGGACTTCACGGATTCATGAGATCGGACCCGTGCGCAATGAGCGGGGCCGGAGGGTTTGCTCCCCCTGGAGGGCCATGTAACTCCCGGCGTAGCGCCCGGGGCAATGCTGCTGTTCGAGTGGTTTCGTCTTTCTCAAGTGTAAAGGTGCGGCAGCCGAGCACGGTAGTGCGCCCACCACTGGAGCATTGACGAACCCGCTAGTGCCGAGGCGGCTTGACGACACCCTTCCGTCAGATTGCCGCTATGTTGCATGGTACATGTTCAAGATGTGCCGTCCAATCCGGATGCTGCGTATTGACGCTCCATTTTCTGGCTACCGACAGACGACACATTTCTTGAGGATCAAATTGCTGGGCTTCATTGGTATTTGACTTCCGCATGCCGCGTCGCATGCAGGCCGTTTTTATAACTCTTGCGAAATTACCATCAGATGAATTGACAGTTTGCTTCTTTTCAAGAAGTACCACTTTGTCAATCGTTGCATTATTGTATTATTACAGTGGACCGCCGTTGTCGGATTACATTGTCTTGTCCCAAGAGACACGCTTTGTCCGTGCTTGGTTACGGGACGTCCGATGAACTGGGCAAGGCAAACATTCAGTCATCGAATTAATGAACCGTGCTCAGAAACGCGTAATACGGTACATGCAAAACTGATGTTTCTGGAGAGTAATTTTTTTATTTTATTACAATGAATCGTTACAATGTTTGCTACCTACTGACATTTAATAGTTTTGTCGGCTGTCGGTATCAGGCAGCTTCCCGTTAAGTATTAAATGCATGACAGCGTTCGCCAGCGAAATGATAGATGCGTAGCACCTATGTAATATAAACGCCTTTGGAACATGACAATAGCGATCACGATAGCGTACGCCGACGAGTGCGCACCATCAGCCGCCGGTTAGTGGGCGCGGCCCCTCCGAGGTTACCAGCGGCGGCGCGGCCTCTGCGCGGTGGGTTCAGTCTTCATTGGCGGCCAGCCGCACGGAAGCCGCCCTCTCCCGGCACCGGTGACGGCTAGCCGGCCTGACCAGGGCGCGTGTCAGCCCGGGTGAGCGTCGTCAGGGCGAGACACGGACCGGCACGTGGAAGACTGAGGGAGACGCGGCAGGCGCGCCCCCGCGCTGCCTCCGACGCGGCGCTGAGGCGGTGGTAGCTGGTGACGCTGCACGGCTCGGTGACACGCAAGATCAGCCGCAGATCGGTGGACCGCCGCGTCCCGCTGTGGAGGATGAGGAACCATGCGCGTGGCGGGGATCGAGTGCTTGGTGCTGGAGACAGCAGTGCGTGGTGTCAAGGCCTGAGACAAGATAAGACAACCTCGAAAATCTCGCCAGTGCTAGCCACCGAAGTGTTCAGGAGCAACGTGGGAGTGCGGACCTGGTCTCCGCCAAAGGGAAATGACGCCTGCCCTATTCGCTTGTCGGTCGCTGTTTCCTGTGTCCTGGTCATGCCACTTGGGAGTTGTCGCTATGATGTGCTCGGACGTTAACCCATGATATGATAGGCACTGTTGTTCATCATATCATGTGCCGTATCATATCGGCGGCACCGGCACGTGCCGGTGCCGCTGGCTAGTGCCGATTTGTCACGGACTTTTGCTGAAAATTCAGCACATTGCGCTAGCGCAGGTCAGTGCTGGTCGTCCCTAGATCTTGCTCAAGTACAGAATCTCGACAGACGCGACCCTCCGTGTTTTCAGATTCTGGAGAAAAGGTGCCCAATGCAATAGCCTACTCTGACCTCCCGGGAGTCGTCTCCCCGGAGGCACAGGGGCCTTACAAGCAGGTCAAGAACGCAGACGCTTCCCGTGATAAGATGCCCGCCGAAAGAGAACGACCGCTTTCCGTTGGCAAGAAAGCTAAACGGCAAGGCAACAAGCCGGCGCCTCCGGTGCCGCCCAAGTATCCAACCCTGGCCAAACTCCGCAGACAGTACCACGGGAAGCGGATGACAATGCTCATTGCCGAGCACGAGGAGAGGATGAAAGCCATACGGCTCAGCGCCACTCTGAGAGCCGAGGAGCATGACCTGAAGATGGCCACCCTCCAGGAGGTCGCGATGCGGTTCGGCTCGCCAGAGGCGCGGCTTCAGGAGGCGGCGGCGCGCGATGAGGCCGAGTTCAGGAGGGCTGAACACACCATGAAAATGGCCATCCTGAATCAGATCAGGAGCAGGGTAGCAGCCTGTCAAGACGGCGGCTCTGGGCTGCAGGAGATGGCCGCGCTACTCGAGTACCTGTGATTAGGCGGCAGCGCTGCTGATGCGGACAAGCAACGCTGCTGGGCGAATGGCTGGGGTTCGGGTACAGTTTGGCGGTTGTTGCGTTGTGTCACAGATCGGATATGGTTTTGATACCCATTTCTCGTCTGGGCATGGGTTTTTATTTTCAAAATTTCTGTCTGTCATGAAGCAGCTGTGATGTTTTGTGATTTGTGAGTTGCATTGTTGATTATATTTTGAGTCGTTGTGTATCATTATGAATATCTTACGTTGTGGTTGTACGCAGGCGATTTTCCATTGACGTTTTGCGAAGCGGCCACGCTCCTACACAATATTTTTTCTGTGCTTTTAGGAAAACTTCAAAGTATTTTGTGTGGTCGGAGTACAAACTTGCCTGAAAGCAAAGGTCTGTCTAATGTGGAATGAGTGTCTGCACAATGGGCCTTGCTTGGAGTACATCACATACTGCCTTTAATGGGTCAACATTTTCCCAACATTTTTCTGGCAAAAATTAGTGTCAGCATGCAATTTTGCATTTCAGTGGAGCAGAGCACTTCTTGTGAGTGAGGGTACCACACTGATCCCATCCATATCCCTGTAGTGCTACTAGCTCACCTACACATGCAAAGATCAAGTAATGGTACATGTTAAGAAATATACAGTTAAAGAGGTTAACAACAAAACTTTATACATATGCATTCACAGGTGCACCATACAAAGCTCAGTTTCTTATCATTACCTATCTACATGCAAACTTACACAATATCAAAATGATAAATCAGGTGCATCCTCTGCTCACTGACAGACTGAATTGCAGACAATTACTGTGCATCACACCCTGGTTTTTTAATGAGTCTCGGGCAGCTGCAACTGACTATGAAAGCCTTATGTATGTGACATCACTAACATGTTGTCCTTTTGGCCTTTACATAATTAATATAAACATACCAAAAGTGTTCCTCTTCCTATCCTTCTCTTTCTGCTCTTCTCCTCTTTCAGTTCCTCACCTTCTCTTTCTGTCACCCTTCTCCTTCCACTCCTCCTCCATTTCTGCTCCTCCTCTCTTCCTGCACCTCCTGTTATCCCTCTCCTCTTCTGCAAGTTCCCTATAATCCTATGTAGGGACAATTTTAATAGTGTCACTGCAAGACCTTATGCATGACAGCAAGGAACATGGCAGCATTGCCACCTGTCAGGTCACAGCTATTATGACCACAGGCTGAAAACAGGCCAGCCTCATATTAGATCCCACATGGAAAACCCAAGCCTAACATTAATGTTGTATATAGATCTTAGTACCAATGTACCTACCCACCATGCTGTAGGTAGAGCAGGTAATACCAAGGTGATTCTGTACCAGCCTGCAGCAGTAAACACTTATAGATGAGTCCTCCAGTATTTATTTACCTTTTTTGGAATGACTTAATAGCAGTCCAAAGCTAAATCCCAAGTAACTTTAGAAGTGTGGATGCATGCTGTGTGAAAATTGAAGACAACCAATTCCACTTTGCCTCACTGAATACCTCAAACCCGCAACTACGATGCACATGATCCCAAGCAGCTTCACTCACCCTCCACCCTCCTCACTCCCACCACATCAAGACAAACAACCAAACCATGCACAGGAGTTCTGGCGCATTCACAGACATTTGATCCTCTCACGGGAAGGGATTTCCTCCGGCGCACGATTCGAATCAGCGGAACGGCGCGTGAGTGTATACATGGGCCGGATAATTCGGATCGAGGACGGGTCCCGGCTTAATTCGAATCACAGCTGCCCATGTAAACAGGGTAATTGTGATGGCATTCTAGCACTCGTCAATGGGGCAACCAAGTACAAGAACCACGGGTCGGTCCTGAAATGACAGGCTGTGATGAATAGTCTAAGAAAAGCCATTTATGCAGTTGCACCAACACAAATTGTTTAGTTTGTGGTAGAAAAATCATGGAGCTTTACAGTCATGCATTTCAAGTTGCTATTTTCCACCTACAAATATACATTATCTTCTGGTGGCGCAAGACAACGCCGAGATAATGCAGTACCTGTACTACAAATCTATAGATATTTCTCATTCTAAGGCATATCATGCCATTTCAACACCCTCTGAGGACGGCCCGTATCTGGGCGATACCAAAACACGTAATTTTCAATTCAATTTGGCTAACTTTGCTAAAAACTTGCTGTTCTCCGGCTTGTACTCCGGCTTGTTCTCCCCGGGTCTCCCCATAGGCCCCATTGTGAGAAGGGCAACCAAGTACTGCGATTTTTCCCACTGGGTTATGGACCATCTCTATCTTACAAGTATAGGTACTGGTTGAGCCTGGAGGCGTGATACCGTTGTTCAATAAGTAAGATATCCTCGAATCTTCAAAGACCGGCATTTACTGATTCCTGAAAAAGTGGTTGACGTACTATCATTTATACAATAGTAATAAGTTTTGGAATGCTGCATGCCACAAACTCCCATTTTGGGAACGTAATTCCCGATGACATTTCAGAACCCAAAAGAACTCGTTACCACCAAAAGTGCCTCCCACAAAGTGATATTTGGGTGCCATTTCATGTCATGATTCTATCTCAAAAGTGCCGATATGT